CCTGAATTCCTTTGCTGACCGTCTGCTGTAGTCTTAATATTCCATCGTTTTTCTTGTAGTGTCCCAGTGTTTTTGGACCAATTCAGTTTCCTGGTTTTGACTCTGCCGGCTCCCTTATTGGACCATTTACCAGTACCACACCAGTGGAGCAGGAACTACACCAGTGATAGTTCAGTAAAGACTTTGAACTGTACGTTGCGTCTGGAGGTGCGCATTTGAGCCGTTACTGTGAGTCTCGACAGCTGTTGTACATCTTGCTGCGAAATCCAAGGGAAACTGCACGCTCATTGGCTAACTTCATTGACCAATGAGCGTGCACAAGTCGAGGACAATAGTTTACAAAATGAACATCACGAATGGGGGTGGGATTAACTCTGCTCTGTGCCCCTTCTTGTTTGTGACCTACGGTGAGAGTAGGGAGTGGGGGATGAGAGCATGGAGAGGTGGAGGTATGATCAGGAGAGAAGAGGAATGAAAGTCAGAAGCACCATGCAGAGGGTTAGTGTAACAGAGGAGGATGCTGGGAGGAGCAGAATTACCCTTTTATGCTTGCTTACCTGACATTTCAGTATTTTGCCTTTTTAAAACTTTGTGTGTCTTTGAGCTGCAGGGATGGTAACACAAATATGGACATTAAAGAGCCACATGCTGAATACTTGAAAATATCTATTAAGACGGAAGATCATCAATCAGGAGTGATTGTTGGACCCAAAGTTCAGTTGAGACGCACTGTGTGCAGGCCTTTTTTTTTTCTTTCTTTCCAACCTTCTTGTCGGTCTTTGTCTCAGTGTTCACTGCACCACTAATCTAATCACATTCAGTTCACTGCATTGTGATCCACTCGGCTCTGCTGGATAAAATATACCTTTTTCTCATTTTGCTGGTGAAGTCATCATGCAGTAATTCCTACTTTGTTAATCAAATACAGTTTCATTAGAGCAGTTTCGGTTTTGTTCATTTGGTTTAATTTTTTTTTTTTTTTTTTTTTTTTTACACACCCTTGCTTAATATTTATTGAATAAATGTAGAAATCACAGTTAGTTTCCCAGTTTCAGCTGTTTTTCTTTTTTTATCTGAAGTGGCCTTTGGGCTGCAAATAGACCTGATTTGGAAGATCTGATCCCATCAGGTGGCTTTGCGGTTGATCTGGTCCTCAGGCCACCTCTGTGGCTCTCTTCAGTCTGTCCTCGGGCTCTGCAGTGGGCGTGCTCAGTATTCAGCTCAGAATCCACAGCGGACAGCCGGGGAGAGAAATACGACTCCACTGTCACACTTGGCTGATGTCCCTGTGCTCCTCTACTCTCTCCCTCATTCCTTCCCTGCCTCTCCTTTCTCTTTGGCTCAATATCTAACTCATGTCCTTTATGAATGGGGCTGTGGGGAGTGTTTTTGTACGCGTGCAACACAGACAAGAGGTCATTTATTTCAGTGTACAGCAAAGAGGATGCAAGAGGAGAGATGAAAATGATGCAGGAAACTTAGGAAAACAAAGATAGATACACAGAAAAGGATAGTGAGAGAGAATGTGACAGAGAGAGAAATTATGCTCTAAATAGGAGTGTAACCTGTTTTCCTATAAGCTATTGTTTCCCTCAGCCTGAACATCCCACATCCAGTAAAGCAGGATATGAAGCCTTCACACCAAGGCTCATACACCAGACCTCTAACTGCACTGATACGTCAACAACTGTAAATTTGTACTTCCACAAACCGCAGGCTTTCATAAACTCCTTCACTGCTTAACCATCTTTAATTCACTTTTTCAAATGGCTTAATATATTATTTACTCTGTATTCTCCATCATCCTCTTCTTCTTCTCCATTCTCTGCTGCCGTAACGACCCAAATTCTCCCTCGGGGATCAACACAGTTCACTTTATCTGTATTTTGTAGAGTTCTGAGTAATGCTGATAAGAGCTGAATGCAGACCGGGGCTGCTCCTGTCCACAGTTATAGAGCAGGCAATGGAAGAAGCCTTATGCAGGTTAGATTTAGCAAAAAGAAAATGGCCTGCGATACATATTGATGTAATTATATAAATATGAATAAATATGGAAATGTATCTCTCTGAATTGAAATGCAGTTTTGCATTTTGTAAACATCAGCACAGTTTCTCTTTAACAGGCTTGACAGTGGAGTAATTGAAAATGCAGCTGAACCAATAAAAAACAACTCTGTAGGAGTCTTTTAATTAACTGAATTCAGTAAATTTACTGGCACTTTGTGTTTGTGTTGTTGCAGAAAACACATTTAGTACCAAAACTACCAGAAAAAAACCTGATCATGTCCGTTAACGTGACGACGGTAAACGGGTTGTTCTGTCTTATGTGGTTAAACATACAATTTGTAGTTTATGCCAAAGTTTGCCAAAATTAAAGTTTGGTATGTAACAAATTTTAACATTAGATAACAGAATTCCTTTTTAAATGATGATTTCATTTATTAAGGGAAAAAAGCTATCCAAACCTACCTGCCCTGTATGAAAAAGTAGCAGCGAGTGTCTTTTGCATCCCTGTAAAGGAATTTTGTTCCAGTTTTCTTTGCAGACTTAACTCAGCTGTATCAGTGTTAAACGCCCTGCTTAATAAGGTCATGACAAAGAATCTCAGTTCACACTTTGACTCCGACAAAACCTTCAGGATTTTCTGGTAGAGGCAGAATTTGTGGTTCTATCAGCTATGGCAATTCGTCCTAAAGCAGCAAACCAACGTGACAGCAGACAATCACACTGTTTCTGTGATGCTCTCTTTCTGAAATACTGTTAGTTTGATGCCAGATGTAACGGGACACAAACCTTCTACAAAGTTCCGCTTCTGTCTCGTCAGTTCACAAAATATTTTCTCAGGTATCATGAAGAGGTTTTTGGCAGATGTGAGATAAGTACAGCGGTTTTCTCCTTGGAGCTCTACCATGGAGGCCATTTTTGCCCAGCCTCTTTTTTTATTGTTGAATCATGACCTTTGACCTTGGCTGAGCCAAGTCAGGCCTGCAGATGTTGTTCTGGATTCTTTTAGCAATTTTCCATTACTACCTACTCAGCGTGGCTTGACTCGACTCAGTTTCTAGGGTTTTCCATTAGGTAGTAGTGGCTGGTGCTGTCACGTCTGCAGTGGCAGATGGTGTGGAGTGAAGAGAATGTGGACTCTGAAACGTAAAAAAAAAAAAAAAACTGGGACTTGGGACCCACAAGGAGATATAAGCAGATGACCCAACAAGAAACAGAGGACTAAATACACAGAAGGGTAAGGAGGGAATGAGCACCAGGAGGGAAACACAGCTGGGACTAATCACACACACAATACAAGAAGCAAAACAGACAACACTACAGATGGACTATAGAAATAAAACATGAAACATGACACAGAGAGAAGCGGGCTTGACGCTGGAACAACAGACATGAAAGCATAACTGACTCGATGTGACACGTGGAACACAGGGGAGGCCCAGTAACAAAACCTAACCTAACTAAATCAAAGAATATTACAGTTTTTGCCCGTTGCTTGAACACATTTTGCAAAACTTTGCTCATTGTGTCAAAACTCTAAACACAAGTAAACATGACACAACACTAGGAAATTATACCATTCACATCTGTGCCAAATTGAAACTCCACTCTCAAAACCTAAACTCTGCTGTCAAAACCTAACATTCCTTTGTCAAAATGTAACTCTGTTGACAAAATGACACATACTTGCATCATATGCAAACACTTACCCATCAGGGGGAACACACTAGTCTACCTTATATAAAACACTGCAGTCTTTGATTTCCATTGTTTATTCAGAAGGCATATTTTCAGGAGACACATTTTCAAACAACCAAAAAGCAAATAGGCCTACTCAATATTGTACATTGCAGTACCATGAATTGAGATAGCAAAAAAAAAAAAAAAAAAAAACCCCAAAAAAACCCATAATACAGTAATAGAAAAAACACTATACTGTAAACACAAAAAAATCATGACAATTGTGCATACGTGGGCTCATGGATCCTGCGGTCTGTTGGGGTTTGGCCACAGGACCTCATCGACATCGCAAGAAATGTCTTCTCCCGCTAGGCACCGGAGTAAATATCTTCTTGCATCCATCCATCCATGGATTGCTGTCGCCTGAATGTCGCCACAGGCCTGTTCCATTGCCCGCAGAAGAGGCATGTTGTTGGCGGTCATATACACGCCATCTCCAAGCCAAAAAAAATTCCTCTATAGGGTTTAAAAATGGTGAGTAAGGGGGCAAGTATACCACTTCAAGTTGGTTGTGGTTGGAGAACCAGGCCTGGACCAGAGCAGCCCGATGGAAACTGACATTATCACCACAAACCTGGGCTGATCTGGTCTGTTCTGTACAACTATATTATGGAGAGCATCTAGAAATGTGAGTATATGTTGGCTATTGTATGGACCTAGTTTTGCATGATGATACAGAAGCCCTCGAAGGCTTATGGCGGCACACAATGTGATATGCCCTGGGAGGTGCACATTTGCCCTTTGGCCAATTACTGTCACGGCTAGACGGTACTCACCGATCGCCTTGCCAATTTTTGGTGGTGTTTGTGTGTACTTTCTGGTGTTCTCCTCTCCATCCTGTGCATGTGTGTTTTTCTGCTGGAACATGTACTTCCGGAAGCCGTGGCACGGAACGGCAGCTGACCCGGGGGGAGTGTCCTGAGCTGGAATCGTCGCACCTGTGCGTAATCACTTCGCCGGCTACTACTAATCTGAAGCAGACCTATTTAACGGTGCGGTCGAGTCACAACCAACGCTGGAACGTTGAACTAAACCGGGTAGCGTAGTCGCGACTAGCATACCCAGTTTGTGAAGGAGAGAGAACATTTTCGTTACTATGCGTGTGTTTTTCTCATCTGCCTCCAGGATTCAGGGATCGGAGGAGGAGCGGGCACAAGGAGTTGTTTTGGATTGTCACTGCACTGTCACCACGGGGAGAAGCCACCGTATCACTGCACTGCCCTCTTTGGATTACAGACTCGAACTGTTGACTCACCTTTTCACTGTGAATAAATTCACTGTCACTCTGCAAGGAGTCTCGCACCTGAGTCCTTTAACCCAATTCACCATGACAATTACATTACGACCCAGTCATCTTGTTTTGCACAGGTCAAATCCAGCTTCATCAATGACAACGAATTCATGAGGCTGTGCAGCTCCATCCATGGCCAAGATTCTCTGTTAAAAAAAAAAAAGAAAAGAAAAAAAAGAGAGAACATATTACTGTACTGCAGTGCTACACATACAGGACCCTCACCCCATCACACAGGTACCTTTGTAGCTCTCAGAATGGATCCATGTGGTACTGATATGGTACATATTCAGCTGCTACTGGATTTCACCAATACTGTATTGTACATGTAAAGGACTGTTACACTTACCCGTACATATTCAGCTCGAAGTCCTTTGACCCTGTCACTGTTCCTCTCAAATGGGACTCTGTAGAGCTGCTTCATGGTGATGCTGTGTTTTCCCCAAGATGCATCTGATGGTGGTGATGCTCACATGGTTTATGTTGTTGAACACTTGCCTGTCTGCAAGTATTTGCTTTCGTAGCTGGTGGAGACTGATGACATTGTCTGCCCTCACTAGGTCCACAACGGTAAGTTCCTGCTGTTGTGTGAACAGGCATTGGCGTCCTCCCCCAGAAGGTCTTCGAGTCATTCTAGAGAAATACAACCACATATTGTCATCTCTTTGCTTATTTTTCTTACAGTACTTTACTGTATATACTGTATCATCCACTGTACAACACTGTACTTCAATATAAGTAATCATGGTATGTTTCACAGAAACTACCACTTTGGCTGCAAAAGGAGCATTAGCACCCTGCAATACCCTGTACACTTGATATGGTAATGTGATATACTGTAGAACAGTGCTATAAAAACCATCTGATTAGAGTAGAAGGTAGAGAGGTGAAGACATACCTGTTTTCTAGTCTGAATGTTCTTATTACAGATGCCACTGTGAAGCAGCTTAGATGTGGGTGGACTCTCTGCCCAGCTTCCCTCATAGTCAGGCCATGGTTGATGACATGGTCCACCAAAATTGCTCTTATATCATTATATCATCAGAAATATGGGTCTGTGCATGGCCTCTTCGACCTCCTCATCCTCTTGCTCTCCCTCCATCCATGCTTGCAAAGTTCTTGAATTGGCTAAACTGAGGGCTTTTTGTAGTTTGCTAATTGGTGTTCAGTTTTGCAAGTAAGTGCCTTCAGGTGTGCATTTGAGTGGTTGCAATTACCCGATGTGTTTTGTATTTTGGATACATGTGTTTTCCAAATGGCACCCTGAAATTTCATTTTGTGAACGAAGTGTCTTATGTATGAAATAGAGTGTAGTATGCAGGACCATGTGTGTTGCATAAAGGAGTAAGTGTGTTGCATAACTGCAACTAGGGTGCAAAGCAGCACTTTTGTTTAATGTCACGGTTCGGCATGGCAAACCGTGGGGAGTGTGGGGAAGGAGGACCCAGGCGCGGTGCTCTATGTACAAGCAGTGCGTTTATTTACAGCGATCGAACAAAACAACAATAAATCCCCGTGCTTTCCCTGACTCCCGTGCGTGTCTCTCCGTGAATAGTCCATGTCTCAGTGCTCTCCGCTCCTGTGTCTCAGCACCCCTCGTGCTGGCTGCTGTCTGGCGCTCCACACTTCTCCTGGGGACACAATAGACGCAGCCGTCAGGACACATATAACCGCGGGCATACACACACTAACTCAGTTCAACTGGATGACTAACATGGAAGTCTCATGGAATGATCCCGCGTCGGTGGGAGCTCCAAGACTCTCCTAAGTAGGAGCCGACGAGCCCTGATCAGCGGCAGGTTTGTAGCTTCGGGTGTGGCCAGTCCCCTAGCCGGGCAACACCCACCAGGCCTGAAGGCGCCTGTAAACCAGTGTACATACACACCTGCACCCATACACACACACATACTCACATCTACAAGCATGGAGAAGAGCAGCAGCAACACCAAAAATACATATAATAACACCAGTCCATGACTGCCCAGGGATCCTGGGTCGCTCAGACCCAGGACCCTGACATTTAAGGTATGGGTACATGTGTTTGAAGTATGGTAACAAAAGCTTCAAGTTGTGTTACTTTAGTCTAAGCATGGGTTTATCAAGCAATGGGCAAAAACTGTAATAATAAAAAACATGAACACTGGGTCACCAGACCAAGAACCATGGCAGGTACCAGGTACTATTTTAGTTCCTACTCCGCCAGGGTTTCAGGTGACTTGAGTTGATCTGAAAATGTGATGTCAGCACACTGCATGTATTACTCAATGAGTCACAAGAGCGATGCTTTACAAAAATCAAAACTGCCATTTTTTAAAATGCGGCAACGAGGCTGCACAAACCCAACACCGTGGTCATACACGGAGCTCAGATGTACCATCTCCACAACATCCCGCGCTGTTGTGTTGTTTGTGTCGCATACAGATGATGTGTTCACTTTTTCCCCCCTTGATAAATGAAATCATCATTTTAAAAACTATTTGGCATTTACTCTTATCATATTTGAAAAACACACAAATCTAGGAAATGTTTAGGTTTTTTTTACATTTACATGAATTAACTGTTAAGCCCCGCAGTACAGATTTAGCTGTGCAAAATATTACTGCCTTTCTTTCTTTTTGTCCTTTTTGAGCGAACAAGTCACAGGTTCTGCGGTTTTACAATATGAAAGAACTTCTGACAGTAACCTGGATCACAGGTGTACCTCATAACGGACCAATTCTCTGTAGCATGATCGACAACATAATTTGCAGCCATCTGTGTTGTAGTCTGTGGACAAAGTGCATAAGTTACAAACTTTTTGTATTAAAATCTAAAATCAGTGTTTTAAAGTGCCTTGAGACATTTGATTTGAGCGCATGCCAAGGATCAGTACTGACTCAGTCATGAGGGTTATTCCTGACTACTTAGAATCGCTGTGTAGTTGCAGGTACCCACAGGACATTTTTTAAATAACTTGGGTTTTCATTTTGCCGTTAGCGTGCTTTCTCATTTGTTAGACATTTTCTGTATTCATTAAAATGAATTAATTTGACACTGGCCCAAAGCAGCTTGCATTTAATCACTGCAGGGATAATAGATGATGTGCAAATGTACTGTATATAAATGATGATATAAAGAAATGGCATCCAGTCATCAAGAAATGAGATATCACGGTGTCATGTGGCACCGTCCCCATCTCCAGCTACCATTAAGACTGAGGAGAGTTTATCGGCTGTGCAACATGCAGATAAAATGAAGACGTCTTCTTTAATAAAACAGGCAGTAATGTTCATTGTTGAGCAGAATGTCTCCAAATTACAAGAGGAGGAATGAATGAAAAGCAAAAATCTCAGCAGCTGGCAAAGTGAGTGCTGAGTCATTAGTATTGATCAACTACCCCATCAGCTACTGCAGCTGTAATATATTGTGTGGTCATTTTGTACAACAGGGAGGAAAAAATATCACCTAATGCCTCTTTAAATATTCACAGAAGTGTTTGAAACATTGATTTAGAATGGTGTTGAGCCGCTATGAATGATCCCAGTCAGATTATTCAAGCAGGATGTACAAGCGGAGCTGGAACAGAGGTCTACGTTTCTTTTTCCTTGTCTCGTTTCTACCTGTATTTTTTAGCAAAGACATTGATGAACAGGAAGCCGCTGCCTGCCAACAAGTCATTGCAGACAGTGCCTAAATCCAATTTTATTTATTTATTTTGACTTCCTTACAGAGGCAGATTTAAGCCGAAGTCTCGGTCACAAACAAGAGCTTCTGCCCATTTTCCAGCCCGGGCGCTGCCTGCCTCCGACTCTCATGGGCCGATGATAGATTGCTCTCTCTCTGCCTTTGTGCTGGGAAATTGCTTTGTTTTGTTAACAGTCTGCCTCTGTTCCAGGCCAGACAGCAGAGATAGCGTGCCTCCTTTCTTCACTTATCTACCAAATATATTTAAGACCGTCTTGAAATGAATTACAGCTGAGCATGCAGAGGTGGGAGGACACCGAAACGTCCCTGCGTGTTCAAAGCGGGGAGGTCGAGACTAAAGTGAATTTGTACTTGACCAAATAAATTACATTACAAATGAAGGTCAGATTACATGTGTGTGTATTTACACACTGTGTTCTTGACAAGGATTCACAGTATGAATGCAAGATTGAATAAGAGTGTAGGTCCTCGCAGGAGGACATGCTGAGAGTATGGACAGAAAGAAAACAAAGTATGTACACCGCTCCAGTAAAAATTAAAGGAACACCTTTTTAATCAGGGTTCAGCATCACGTCAGTGAAGTTGTCAGTGAGTTGGTCAGATACACGAGAGGGGCAACAATGAGACAAGCCCAAAAGTGTTTTACAGGTGGAGGACACTGACATTTCACATGTCACTGCTAGTAGCATGAGGATATACCTGGACCCCACAGAGGCTGCACAGGTAGTTCAACTCCTCCAGGATTGCAGGTCAATGTGCACTATTGTCAGAAGGTTTGCTGTCTCGCAGCAGTCTCAAGAGCATGGAGGAGAATCCATGAGACAGGCAGTTACTCTAGTAGAGCTGGACAGTGCTGTAAAAGACCCTTAACCCCTTCACTACATGCATGATGTGAACATCAACCAACATCTAACTACTGTCAGATATTGAGACCTGAGACAATTTCTGGAAAGAAGCAAAACTCAAGAACACCTTCTGGAGGTGAGAGACACAAACATTCTGTGGGATGAGAAATGTGGAGAAAATGGGTGTTCCAGGGTGGAGAGATGGACGTCCCTGGATGGTCCAGCACAGAGAAGCTTGCAACTGCAGTATCAGAAGTATCATGGAAGTACATTTGTAGTGTTTGAGGGATAAAAGCTGTTTTTATATCTCTACAGCCACTCCCTTAACCTTTTCACTTACAACACATAGTAGTGTGAGAATCTGATTACACAGCAACTTAGATCGATTTCTCCCTCTCTCTCTCTCTCTCTCTCTCTCTCTCTCTCACTCACACACACACACACACAAACAACCAGAAATGAGGAAAGCGATTTCAAGTAAAAATCTTTATCCTTGATGCGCTGGCAGAGCTGCTCCTCACTCAAAGGAGTAAGAATAAGCATTTTTGGAACTGAATAATTCAACCCATTTGACAGATGGAGTGAACAGTCTGATGCAGAATAATGGCAAAAGGACATGCTCTATTGGTATTTTACGGCTGGCACGTCTGCTATTAGGATGCTAACAGGGATGTTTTTATCAAGGCTGCATGCATTATGAGAGGCTAAGACGTTAAAGATTCATAACTCTGGAGGATCCTGCACACCTTTTGGTCCATCCTAGTTTTTAGTTTTTTGTGTCTTATTTCTCTGCTTACACACTATAATGAAACCAACCAAAGTTGTCTCCAGCCTGCTGCATTTGGTGAATATTGCTGATTGCTTTCTTTTGACTCTCAAGATGAGTCAAGAGTCAAGACGAATTTCATGACACAGGTGTTAAAGTGTTCAAGAGCAGGCAGAGGAAGAATGGGGCTTGGTGGGAGGTCATCTAAACACCTTCTTCTGCTTCTTTAAATCT